ATGGTTGAGAAGGGGAGCCCTATATACTGTTTTTTTTTAAAGAAAATTCTCTTTAATATGAATTTTTGTGGTATAAGAGTACAAAACAGAATCCATTTGGCATATCCTGGTTCATGTATTTCCATGTCATATCCAATAACACGCAGTAGATACACTTGAGATCACCAAAATAGGAGAAGTAGAGAGATAAAAGCATTAGGTTCTCATCCAATATGAATGTAGTACTACTCCCAAGGGAGGTGCTGTAACTTTAATGATTCACTCCCAAAAATGAGTGCAGATGCATCGAGACACACAGTTTTTGCTCTCTCTGGTCCAATAAATAGTCTAGGTCAGTGGTGGGCAACCTTTTTTTTCAACTGAGCCAAATCTCGCCAAAACCACAATTGAAATTTATTTTGAGAGCCACATTTTTAAAACTGAAAATACATCCCCCATATAGTAATTCATCCCCCATAGTAATTCATCCCCCATAGTAATTCATCCCCCATATAGTAATTCATCCCCCATATAGTAATTTTTCCCCCATAGTAATTCATTCATCCCCCATATAGTAATTCATCCCCCATATAGTATTTCATCCCCCATAGTAATTAATCCCCCATATAGTAATTCATCCCCCATAGTAATTCATCCCCCATATAGTAATTCATCCCCCATCAGTAATTCATCCCCCCTATAGTAATTCATCCCCCCTATAGTAATTCATCCCCCATAGTAATTCATCCCCCATATAGTAATTCATCCCCCATAGTGATTCATCCCCCATAGTAATTAATCCCCCATATAGTAATTTCATCATCCCCCATATAGTAATTCATCCCCCATAGTAATTCATCCCCCATATAGTAATTCATCCCCCATATAGTAATTCATCCCCCATATAGTAATTCATCCCCCCATATAGTAATTCATCCCCCATAGTAATTCATCCCCCATATAGTAATTCATCCCCCATAGTAATTCATCCCCCATATAGTAATTCATCCCCATAGTAATTCATCCCCCATATAGTAATTCATCCCCCTATAGTAATTCATCCCCCATAGTAATTCATCCCCCATATAGTAATTCATCCCCCATAGTAATTCATCCCCCATCATAGTAATTCATCCCCTTATAGTAATTCATCCCCCATATAGTAATTCATCCCCCATATAGTAATTCATCCCCCCATATATAGTAATTCATCCCCCATAGTAATTTCATCCCCCATATAGTAATTCATCCCCCATAGTAATTCATCCCCCATATAGTAATTCATCCCCCCATAGTAATTCATCCCCCATAGTAATTCATCCCCCATATAGTAATTCATCCCCCATAGTAATTAATCCCCCATTAGTAATTCATCCCCCATAGTAATTCATCATCATCCCCTTATAGTAATTCATCCTGCCCCATAGTAACATCCTGACAGCCAATGTTTGCCACGCCGTGTCCGTGGGGTCCGGATTAAAAGGTCCGCCGGGCCGTAGTTTGCCGCATTGGTGGGGGCTAGCTGCAGAGTCCTGACTTTTGGGGTGGCCGCCCGAGAGGAGGGAGGGGAAAAAGGAGCGGGCGCCCGGGACACAGAAGAGCCGCATCAAAGTGTGTAAAGAGCCGCATGTGGCTCGCGAGCCGCGGCTTGCCGACCACTGGTCTAGGTGATGTCTTTTATGCTTTTTATTGCTGAAGAAACTGAGGTGGGGTGAAGGGTTGCATGGCATACCCCAGGAACACTAAATAAGAAGAAGATACTTCTTCTCTCAGCAGTCTTTGTGCAAAGGGCAGGAGAAGTAGCTGAAACCAAGTTCTTGTAAAGGCCACCACAACAGAGCAAGTACAAGGGCCTTCTGGAGAAAAGAGAGGACTGCACTCAGCCACCAGGGCTCTGAGTTCAGGTCGGTAATCACAATGCCAAAGCTACAGCAATTAACAACTGCTCCACTGGTTACAGAGGAGCCAGACTAAATTTACCTAACTTCCTAATATTCTAACTAGGAGGGTGCTACATGTAGAAAGGATTCCAGGAGGTTCTTGAAAAATATAGGCTCAGCCCTGGAGAAACCATCTTTAGCAGGGGTGTCAAACTCAAATTCATCACGGGCCACATCAGCATTATGGTTGCCCTCAAAAGGGTCAGTTGTATCTGTAAGACTTGATATTCACAGCACCCCACCACCCATCCACCATCAGATGTCTAGACACCCCCCCCACCCATCAGATGCCAGAGTCCCCCACCATTCCTTTACATCACAGTGCACCCCCACCCCTTACCTTATGCTGCTTCTGAGAAGAAGCTCAGGCTGGAGCTTGGAAGCATAAAAATGTGGGCTCTGGAGGAAGACCAGAGGAGGGCTTGTGTCAACTGCCGGAATCTTCTGAATGCTGAGACTAGGGGAGGCAGAGACAAAGGGGTGCAGCGGCTGCTGCATGGGACATGGGATCAGGAGTTCTGTGCTCCTCTCTGCTGCCAACTGTTGACAGGTGGAGGAGGAGACAAGGAGGGTGCCCCAGCTGCAAGAGAGGTGTAAGGGTCACATGAAATGACCTGGCGGGCCAGATTTAGCCCATGGGCCTTGTGTTTGACACGTGATCTATTGTACCACAATAGTCTACTCAAGATATTCCCTCTCCTGACTTCAGTCAATGGGGTATATAGTAGACAGGGGTCTCAGAAGACATGTTGGTGGGTACAGAATCAAGCAGAGGTCCCAGACTGTATGAAACTTTTTGGGGCAACCTATAAGGATAAGTGGGATGTCTGAATTGACCAAATGTTTCCAGAAATCTAGGGTGGGGGCAAGAGGGGACTTACATTTCAACACAATTGCTTTCCTAGCATAGAATAAAAGAAGACCCAGAAGTGTCCTAGATGCTCCAGCAAAGGCCAGAGGGTCAACCAGCCCTGCCCTACATACTTAACACTGCACGGCATGATTCATATTTTATCTGCTTATGTCCTATAAGAGTTAAACTCATCTGTAATACGACGCTGTCAGTGACAGCTCTCCTCGGGCCTGAACTCCGTAAAGCCCCCAGCAGTTTCTAAGCCTTTGTGACTGCACACGGCCTGAGCGCTGCATGGAACAGCCGCTTATCCATCCTTCGACAAGCCGCCGCAGAGAGCCAGCCGAGCTGCAAAATGGCTTAAGCTTTCCTGAGCACTTAGAGGGGTGGCAGGTGGGGGGAGGGGGGGGGGAGACTTACTGGCCTGTTTGTCCAAGGAAACTGCAATTTAGCAAAGAGCATACTTCTGTAAATGTCATGGAGGCCTATTACCATCAGAGCTGTTGTTCTACCGGCAGACAGCGCAGGATTGGTCTACGGCGCCCCCCGTGTCCCCGCGCAAGAGTTTATCCAGCAAAGCGGTTCGAACTTTGATGGGTTTACACACAATTAGGCTGAAAGCATTAGCTGGTTCTGCTCGATTTCTTTACAAGATGAATTTTAAAATAATTTTTATGAACATTTCTGGAGACAATTTATTTGACTTATCGGAGAAAAGCGATGATAAGGAAAAATCAACAACCTCTGTTCATGGCGAAGAGTTTTCAAAGTTTATTTAGAAGAGAAATGTTACATTAATAATAAGGAAAGATTATTAACCCCTCGTCTACAGGGCACTTCTACCCCCTACCCTACCGGGCACTTCTACTGCCTTCCTGCCTACAGGCACTTCTACCCCCTTCCTGCCTACCGGGCACTTCTACCCCCTCTTCCTGCCTACGGGCACTTCTACCCCCTTCCTTGCCTACCGGGCACTTCTTCCCCTTTCCTGCCTACCCAGGGCACTTCTACCCCCTTCCTGCCTACAGGGCACTTCTTCCCCCTTCCTGCCTACGGGCACTTCTACCCCCTTCCTGCCTACCGGGCACTTACTTCTACCCCCTTCCTGCCTTACCGGGCACTTCTACCCCCTTCCTGCTACAGGGCACTTCTACCCTTCCTGCCTACAGGGCACTTCTACCCCCTTCCTGCCTACAGGGGCACTTCTACCCCCTTCCTGCCTACCGGGCACACTTCTACCCCCTTCCTGCCTACAGGGCACTTATACCCCCTTCCTGCCTACAGGACACTTCTACCCCCTCCCTGCCTACCGGGCACTTCTACCCCCTCCCTGGCCTACAGGGCACTTCTACCCCCTTCTGCCTACCGGGGCACTTATTCCCCCTTCTGCCTACAGGGCACTTCTACCCCCTTCCTGCCTACAGGGCACTTCTACCCTACTTCCTGTCTAACCATTACCTGGGCACTTCTTCCCCGCTTCCTGCCCTACCGGGCACTTCTACACCCTTCCTGCCTACAGGGCACTTCTACACCCCTTCCTGCCTACACGAGCACTTCTACCCCTTCCTGCCTACCGGGCACTTATACCTCTTCCTGCCTACAGGAACACTGTACCCGTGTATAAATTTTTTATCATTTTTTTGAGAAGATAGAGGCTTTATTTTGGTGGTATTTAATCACCTCTGAGCATTTTTTTTTTTTGCTAAACAAACCAAAGACCACTGAAAATTTTGAAAAAAAAAAAATGTTTTTTCTTAGTTTTTGTTACATAATTTTGTAAATAAGTGATTTTTCTCCTTCACTGATGTGTGCTAATTAGGCTGCAGTGATGGGCACTGATTGGCACTGATGGACACTTATAGGTGGCACTGATGGGCACTGATTGAGGATGGCACTAGTAGGAGGCACTGACTCTGATGGGCATTGACAGGCATCACTGTATGGGCACTGAAAGGCATCACTCAATATGTGGGCACTGATAGGTGGCACTGATAGGCAGCACTGACTGGCACTGATAGGCGGCACTGACTGGCATGATAGGTGGCACTGACTGGCACTGTTAGGCGTAGCACTGAGTGACTGGGGCACTGATAGGCGGCACTGACAGGAGCTGATAGGTTGCACTGATGTGCATTGATAGGCAGCACTGAACTGGCACTGATAGGCGGCACTGACTGGCACTGTTCAGTGGCACTGACTGGGCACTGATAGGCAGCACTGACTGGCACTGGGCACTGACTGACTGATAGGTGGCAATGATTGGCAGCACTGATTGGCATTGATAGGGTGGGGGCAAACTGGCACTGATGGGTGACACTGAAAGGCAGCTCAGATGGGCACTGATATGTGGCATTGATGTGCTCTGGTATGCACTGATATGTGGCATTGATGTGGCACTGATGAGCACTGGCACGTGTGTGGTACTGATGAGCACTGACACAAAGGCACTGATGGACACTGACAGGTGGCACTGCCAGGGCTACACTGATCATCAGGGCACACTGATCATCAGTGCCCTGATGAGCAGTGTACATGTCCCCGCCGCGGAAAGCTTGAGAGGAGAGAAATGCTGATAACCGGCTAATTTCCCTGTTTACATCTGATCAGCTGGATTGGACACAGCTGATCTACATGACCAAGCCGACATCTTCGACTCTTTTCATGATCGGTGATCCGCTGTGTCCGAGGGACACAGCACACCGGCAATCGCCGCGCTGCACGCTCCCTGAGAACGAGAGACCGAGGACACTTGCTCCCATCATATTACTATATGGCGGGCGGGAGGTGGTGGTTAAAGTGTGCACTTTATAAAGAGTTTTGAACAGATAAAAAGACTTTTTTTTAACTTTTTTTGAATTCCGTAACGGATTAATTGGTTTTCAAATGATTCCTATGGGAAATTCGCAGCTTTGGTTTATGAATTTTTACGCAATACAAAAAGTCCCACAGAACGCATTTGAATTTGTAAAACCGAGGTACGCCTGTATTTGTGAAAAAATCCACAACGTTTAGTAAGCTTTAGCACCAATCATGAAAAATGCAGATCTACTGTAGTTTTTGCTGAGCCTGGATCTGTGTTAGCTGGATTCCCCTAACGTTTCTATGGGTTCATTATGGCCTCCTTCCATGTTCTTGAGGTGAGATACATCTTCTGGTACTTGGTTGTCTCCTAAGCCTTTAATCAGCAGGATTATTATAGCTGAACTTTACGAAAGCTGTCAAATAAAATCAGAGCAACAATACGCGCGGGTCAAACATACAAACGCCGAAGCTCGCAGTGCAGAAACAGAGCGATCTCAAGGCGAGGTTCGAAAACAGCGAAGCAACTTTAAAAAGAACAAAGTATTACCAATTAGCCGACTTTGACTGACGCAACATTCATGGGCTTCCTTCCAAAGTTGGGTTGAGTAAATGGTTTTGCACTTGTGAGAAACCGTGAAAAAAAACAGGAAAAACAATGTAAGACGCAAGCGAACCAATGGCCGTTGAGTAACAGTTTTCCAAGGTTGCAAAGGTGAGGAACCGAAAGAAAACGAGAAAAGTATTGTAACAGTTTTCCAGGACGCAGGCGGTTAATCACAGCAGCACCCAATACTTGCCAAAATTTTCGTAATGGCAGATATGGTAATTCGTGGATTTGTTTGGGCTATCCATTACATTTTTTTTGGCTTGCAGATATATTCAGCCCCAGGTCCCCCATGTTAATATTTCTTTGTCATTTTGTCAGTGATAGGATTATGTTGGTCCCAAAGTTCAGGAAACACGCTTGGAAGGAGATAGGGGGAACCTGATGAATATTTACAAAAATTTTATATTGGATAATAGGGACTCAAGATGTGCCAAAAAACCATCACAAAGGAAAAGGACACAAAAGAGGAAGAAATCCTGTATACACAGAGAATACAATGTCTGCTTAGAAAAGTCGAGATTCTGCTCATGGAAGTTTCCTGTCTTCATTGCACCTCTTTGGGGCTTTTAAAAGTTATGTGGCACGTTATACGCTGGGCTTCTATTTTAGCGGGAAATGCGGGGGGGGATGCAGTTTCAGCACCTGCAGCACTGGGAATGTATATATATGGCAAGGGTTTGCTGCGGGGGTGCTGGGAGGGTCTATTGATGCTGGCTGCTGGGGGATCTATTGTCACTGAAAGGAATCTATTTTTGAACAGGGATCTATTGTTGCTGTGTGGGTTTTATGTTGCTGGGGGGTCTTGTTGCTGGGCGGGATCTCCTGTTGAGGGAGGAGTCTATTGTTGTTGGCTTCTGGAGGGCCCTATTGATGCTGGCTGCTGGGAGGTGGGTAGGAGGTGGAACCCAGAATGGTGTTCGGAGGTGGAACCCAGGGATGGTGCTCGGAGGTAGAACCCAATGGACGGTGCTCAGAGGTGGAACCCAGGGAAGGTGCTCAGAGGTGGAACCCAGGGACGGTGCTCGGAGGTGGTATCCAGGGACGGTGTTCGGAGGTGGAACCCAGGGACGGTGTTTGGAGATGGATCCCAGGGACGGTGCTCAGAGGTGAACCCAGGGACGGTGTGTTCGGAGGTGGAACCCAGGGACGGTGCTCGTAGGTGAAACCGAGGACGGCGCTCAGAGGTGGAGCCCAGGACGGAGTTCAGAGGTGGAACCCAGGGACAGTGTTTGGAGGTGGAACCCAGGGACGGAGTTCAGAGGTGGAACCCAGGGACGGAGTTCAGAGGTGGAACCCAGGGACGGTGCTCGGAGGTGGAACCCAGGGAAAGTGTTCGGAGGTGGAGCCCAGGGACGGTGTTCAGAGGTGGGACCCAGGGATGGTACTCAGAGTTGGAACCCAGGGACAGTGCTCATAGGTGGAACCCAGGGACGGTGCTCGGAGGTGGAACCCAGGGACAGAGTTCGGAGGTGGAACTCAGGGATGGTGCTCGGAGGGGAGACAAGGGGTGACTCAAAAGGTGGGGAGTTTCTGCACCTATCCTCTTAAAAAGAAAGCACTGGTTATACATATATACAAGGATACACGTATTTATATATTCAGGTACACTTTATAGCAACTTCACAATGATGGTGGGACAAATATTTATAATGGACTTACAGCAATTCAAGGAGCTCCGATAATCTTCTTACCTCAAGTGTGCATAGGCAGGGCAAGGATCACTGACTCTGTAGTGAGGCTTCCTCCTTCCTGCTCCAGTACTCCTATCTTCTCATGTGTTTCCTCTATGGCAAGGGTGTCAAACTGGCGGCCCTCCAGCTGTTGCGAAACTGCAAGTCCCATCATGCCTCTGTCTTTGGGAGTCATGCTTATAACTGTCAGTCTTGCAATGCCTCATGGGACTTGTAGTTTGGCAACATCTGGAGGGCCGCCAGTTTGACACCCGTGCTCTATGGAGAACATCTTTGCCTCCTCGCTTTTATTTCCTTAGCACTTATGGGTGTGGGTCTACAGGTCTACCCTGAAGTATTGGGGGAGGATGCGTGGCCTTTAGGCTCCTTCCTGTCCTGCCTTTTGGGTCTCTCCTGTGGAGAGCCCATCACCTACTATTCATTGGTTGGCTTTGGTTGATCATGAGGATTAGGGCCCACCATAGGTGGATGTACACTCACCAGCCACTTTATTAGGTTCAATGGCTTGGTAACACAAATTGCTAATCAGCCAATCACATGGCAGCAACTCATTGCATTTAGGCACCTAGATGTGGTGAAGATGGCTTGCTGAAGTTCAAACCGAGCATCAGAATGGGGATTTAAGTGACTTTGAACATGGCATGGTTGTTGTTGCGATGGTCTGAGTATTTAAAAAAAATATCTACTGGGATTTTCACACACAACCATCTCTAGGGTTTACAGAGAATGGTCTGAAAGAGAGAAAATATCCAGTTGTGTGGAGGAAAATGCCTTGTTGATGTCAGAGGTCAAAGAAGATTGGGCAGACTGGTTGGAGATGATAGAAAGGCAACAGTAACACCAATAACCACTTGTTACAACCAAGGTACGCAGAATACCATCTCTGAACACACAACACGGTGAACCTTGAAGCAGATGGGCTACAGCAGCAGAAGACCACACCGGGTGCCACTCCTGTCAGCTAAGAACAGAAAATGGAGGCTACAATTCGCACAGGCTCACCAAGATTGGACAATAGAAGATTGGAAAAAACGTTACCTGGTCTGATGAGTCTCGATTTCGGCTGTGACATTCAGATGGTAGGGTCAGAATTTGGCATAAAAAACATGAAAATGGAATCATGCCTTGAAAGGTTCAGGCTGGTGGTGGTGGTGTCCATGGTGTGGTGGATCCATGCCTTGTATCAACGGTTCAGGTGGTGGTGATGGTGTCATGGTGTGGTGGATCTGCCTTGTATCAACGGTTCAGGCTGGTGGTGATGGTGTAATGGTGTGGTGGATCCATCCTGCCTTGTATCAACGGTTCAGGCTGGTAGAGGTGGTGTCATGATGTGGGGGAGATTTTCTTGGAACACACTTTGGGCCCTTTAGCACCAATTGAGCATCGTTTTCACACCTCAGACCTCTCCCACCCTTGGAAACAAAAGATATGTTAATGACCAATTCACACCTCATATTCCTCATGAAGACCCCCCTGCCAGGTAACCTTTATGACTCCCTCCACCAGACAGCTTTCCCACCCTTGGAAACAAAAGAAATGTTAATGAGCAACTCACACCTCAGCTAATCTCAACACCTACTGCTGTCTCTGCTTCTACTCTCTGTATTTCTCTCAAATAGTCTGAAATAGTTAATAATTTACCACTTTTCAGTGCATTCTGGGCATTTGGGAGGGTCTCTCCTGTGCTTATCTTTAAAAAACGCTTCTAAATGCAAACGCACATAAATGCATTATGCAAACGCGGCTAAACAGACTTTTTTTAACCTACGTTTTCCAGCAGTTTCCATCATTCACAAGTGTCCCGTGCAAGGGAGGACTTACAACTCATGGGGCCCCTAGGCAAAAGGGGATTTTGGGGCCCCTGTGTCCTCACCCACACTCAAACCACACCCAAAAAAGCCTATGAAAGATACCAGGGGCATCTCATGGGGCCCCCTACTGACACCGGGGCCTTCGGGCAGTGCCTGAGTGCCCGAATGGTCAGTCCGCCCCTGATGAGAACCCATCCCAACAAATCTGCAGATCTGCCTTCTCCAAGTGTGAGATTGAGGTTTACCCCTTTTTATCACCGTTCCTGAAAAGCAGGAGAAATCCAGACCCACAGGCAACCTCGTGACCCCGCTTTTGTCTGCAGACAGGCGACAGTCTATGTTACAATCGTGCTGACACATAACCTGATACATGACGGATCACACCAGCGCACAAAGGATTCCCGCGAGGTCTGGCCGCTGCCACTTCCTTCGCTCGCCAATTAGCCAAATCTGACATTGATTATCTCCCCGGAGTTAATTTCTACAGAGTCTGCATTGTGTTCAGAGCTACTCAGCGTTTTGTCCCTTTAATGCGCTATTAGGCCCATCAGAATGTAATTTTTTTCCCTGGAAGGGAAGGAACTTTGAGGAGCATAATGGAGGAGGAACAGGCAAAAGGTCAGCGTGGCGGTCACACCGCATGCATTCGGCTTTGCATCAATTTTCTGTTTCTGCGTCACGCGGCAGAATGGTTTATCAGACCTTCAGGATCAGGTT